GTTAATGGATAATATATGCCCTGAAGTTTTGTATTTAACTCTGCTTTAATAAATTGCAGAAGTAGACCAGAAGTAGAATTAAATTTTCAAATAATATCAGTGCTTTTGTTTTGTTTTCTGGCTTTAATTTAGATTTCTAGAATTAATGTATAGAAATGTGCATTTATATTAATATAAAAAATAAATACATCTTTCAGATAATAAAAATTTTTAAATTATCTTATTAAAGGATTATTGTGGCAGAATGAATTAAGCATATATGTCTTGCCTTCACTTGATTTTAATAGAACAAATTAATTCTTTCAGAATCAAAATCTGATGTGCTGTATACCAAATATAGAATGTTGAGTATGTTATATTAAAACGATTTTACATTTGCAATTCAGAAAGAGGTGACAACCACAACTGCTCTAAAGTTGCTGTAGAACAGCATGTATCTAAAATATATTTTTACAGTGCTTGCTGTTTTATTTCATAGGTAGTGTAATATTATAAATGGAAAAGGAAGAGGCTAAGAAGAAATATATTTTTACAGTGCTTGCTATTTTATTTCATAGGTAGTGTAATACTACCAAAAATTTATTGTTTTGTGTGATGAGTATGCAACAGCCCTTACGATACAAAGTATTCATACATTCACATCAGGGATTTAGAATTTTCAAGACAGGGATATACTATGTACTTAATGGCATTGGAAAACAAAGGAATATTGATCAACTTGAGGTACCAGAACCATCGAGAAAGAAACCAACAACAAGTCATACTGCCACCATGGTAAACAAAGTGTGATATCTAGAAACAGATAAAAATCCAGAAATGCAAAGTTCAGTGGTAAAAGCCACATCACCCGGCAACAGTCTGCAATATATTAAAAAAGGATCTCTGCCTGTAAAAGCAGCACAAGTCTCATGTTGACAGGTTGCTTCCACAAAATTTTCCAAGAAAGGAAAACCAACTTTAGAAAACAGTATGAATGGTACCTAGTAGGGAGAAAAATGCAGTACATGGTGACACTCAGTGAAGCATATATACAAATGTATCAGGTTTTATGCCATTTTATACTGGTCATTAGATGAGAAGAAATTTAGAAAGTGGTGCACAGTATGCTGCAAAACTTTTTTAAAAGGAATTTATGATCATGGCTGAAGACTCTGCCAGGAGTGAGTTAGGGATCAGTGAATACAAAGAACAAGGTGAATTCAGCTTACTATCAGACCAATGTTCTGAACCCTTTGTACTGCCCAGAAATACCTACTTTGTACATAAATGAAGCCATGAGAGTATGGGTTCCCCAAGATAGTACTTCCAGTCATACCTACTGTTCAACCATTACATACCTAAAGCAGCTATTCATGCTATTCCATATGAAGACATATTGGTCAAATTGTCAGACGCAGTGCCTATGAAATTCTTTGCTATCATATTCTTACACAAAGATGGATTATGGAAAGCCAGCAGGGAGAAGTGTTGACATTTAGACATGACAGCCTTATGACAGAACCTTTGCAATGGAAATTACTCTGCAAAGCTATTGTCAAGATGCACATTCGTCAGATAGGGCATGACCAGACATGACGACATGAATTGTAACTATGTGTTGAGGCCCTAAAACCATTTTAATATAACATATAACCTTTGTACAATGTATTTATAATATCAGTATGAACAGTTAGAAAATAGCTGAAGCAAAATTTAATTGTTAGTGCATTGAAGAAACTAGAAGATGCACAGTGAGAGATTTATGAAAGTTGTTTTTTTTCCCCTAAATATGCCAGTGACAATATAAAGATTGAAAGCACATAAAAATATAATTATCCATGTCCACTGGGCTTGATTATTTAAGTAACAGTTTATTTTCTATTTTAGTTTTTTTTATATAAAAAAAGCAGTAAGTAATGTGACTTAATATAAGTTTGTCTATGTTGAAAATGTGTATAATGACTGATGAGATTTGAAAATGAAATGCAACTGTAGATTTAATGTTTTACCAGTGAAATATATATATATATATATTTATATATATAGTATTTTTGCTTTTGTCCTAAATATGCTTGTAATGACTGAAATAATAGAGACTGTATACCCTATGTAATGAAAGAGGAAACTGGAGAAATCCCATCCATACCCCTAGTGGCCACCCCTATTAACTGATCTATATCTAGCTAGCAGTGAGCTATGAAATCTATATATTTTGAAAGAAAAATAACTTCTTCTTAACACATCTCGATTCATCTCTAGTTGATTTAGCCATATTTGACAGGTCCAAATGCAAACAAACAAGTAACTTCTCTCAAATTATAATAGGATTTAATCAACTTGTAGTATGCTACTGTGTGTGGAGCATGAGAAATCAGATAAAAATACATAAAATAAAAGAATTTACAATTGAATATTGTACAATTTTATCTTCACATATCTCTACTTTTATTTTAACACAGAACTTCTTCAAGCTAGCTTAAGTTTTGTGTGTTCATGTGATATTTTTATTGAGACTAGCTAACGTAATTAACATCAGTAATAATGAAACTATAACGTATATTTAATATAAATAATCATTATTTGCTGTTTAGTAATTAATTTATACAGATAATAGTAATTAATTTTTTTTTCTTACAGCGTTCTATGAGGGAGGTTTACAATTATAGTGAGTATATGGATCTATACTTAATAAATAAAATATTGTTAGAGCAAATTCTTTACATGAATTAACAAACAAGATTAACAGTGCTACAAAAAAAAGTAAAGATCTAATTCCAGGTGCATGTCAGTTATTTCTGTATCAAAAAAATACAAATAATATGGTATACAGCTTCTCTGGCCAATTTTTTCACTAAGTATAAAAAATGTTCAAATAGTATTTATTTATTGAACATTAGCTTAGACTAAGTAATAGACTGTAAATCTTTCTTCATTGACTTCCAGTAATAAAAACGTAGTCAATGCTTGAATTCAGTGATCAGCTGTTGATACTTAACCCTTATCTATATACAATTACAACGTTACTTTCAGATAGTTTAAGTCTTAAACACAAATGATCTCACAAGTAAATGTGTATATGAAATACACATATTTAAATAAAGCCACCAATCATGATTTTTTATCTCTACCTTTGTATTTTTTCTTTCTGATATTTCCATGTATTTTTCCTTAGTATCAGTTAATTTCTGAAACAATTAAGTTAATCAATTCCTTCTAGGAAATTATTATTGAACTATAATTGTAATTTGTTTGTACTTGTAGTATCAAATGTAGCCTGAAATAATTATTTTAAGGACAATTAGACCTGTTGGTCCATCCAAGCTGTCCCGTCCACTATACTAAAATACAAAACAAAAATAAAACACTCAAAGTCAGCCCTAATCATTCAACTATTTATCAACTCTTCCATTAAATTAACTGCATCTACCACATCTGAAGGCAACACATTTCAAAGGCCAACCAACTTGTTAGAAAAATAAAGATGACTCCTACTCTTCTAAAATTTATTCTTGTGTCCCCCTAGTCCTTCCAGTAAGTATGAAAAAAAGATAATGCATCAACCCTATAAATTCCCTTAACAATCTTAAACACCTCAACCAGATTCCCTCCCACACATATATTTTCCAGGAATATAATTCTTGTAATAGAAACTAGACAAAACTTACTGCAAGTTAGTGATACAACAAATTTTGTATTGAATTATTAATTGGACAAAAGACACATATCAATTAAGATATATATTCACTTCTGTTGTACAAGCTAAAGCTTATAAATTTGGGCAATAGAATTATTGGTACAAGTTAATTTTTAGTTTTATTAAGACAAACTTTTGTTTGTAAACTTGGACAACCAAAAGCAAGTATTAGTACAGTAGCTTTTATTGCACAAACTGCTGTTAACATAATTGGGCAACAGAAGCAAGAATAAATACAGATTAAATCTTGCTCTTACCATATAAATTATTGTTAATAATCTCGGGTAACAGAAGCAAGTATCTGTATGGATCAAATCTTGCTTTTATTGCATACACTATTATTAGTGACTTCAGGCAACAGAAGTAAGTATCATTACAGAGTAACTTTGGCTTTTATTGCATAAACTATTGTTATTGACTGACTTCAGGCAACAGAAGTAAGTATCATTACAAATTAACTTTGGCCTTTATTGCATAAACTATTGTTATTGACTGACTTCAGGCAACGGAAGTAAGTATCATTACAGAGTAACTTTGGCCTTTATTGCATAAACTATTGTTGTTGACTGACTTCAGGCAACAGAAGTAAGTATCATTACAGAGTAACTTTGGCTTTTATTGCATAAACTATTGTTAGTGATCTTGGGCAACAGAAGTAAGAATCAGTACAGATTAATTTTTGATTTGATTGTACCAGTTACTTGAAGTAAACTTTCATTGGTATGTAGCTGTAAATTCTTACATAACTTGAACAGTAAATCATTGTATATCTAACAGTAATTTCTTTCATACATTCTTTTTTTTTTTTCATTTCAAATTAAAATCAAAGCTCAACACAAAGACATTTAATAGGATGGAAATAAATGCATATTTTAATGTATGTTTATTTGGTAAACTTAAAAAAGAAAAATTTGAATTGTTTACCTACAAAAATTGTTATTTGCTCTGTAAGCCATGTTCAGTAAATGTATTAAAGTGTAAAAGCTTGAAAGGGCATGAAGGTAATAATTTTTTATTATTATTATTGATGTTTAGAACAAGCATGTAAATCACAGTTTGTAGAAACATTTAAAGGCTTGTTATTCCACACATGCTTAATTGGATTGCAGGAAATTTTGTTTAACTTATGAACTTAAAATATCAACAATATATACTTAAAAGTGCTTTTAAATGTATTTTAAAGATGAAAAACTGCTTTAGTGCAAAGATTATATTGTAAGAGAAATTAACTGCACATCTGATGTGCCACTTATGAATTGCTTTCAGTTTTTAAATGACTAATAGCATGTTTGCCATATAAAAACATTTGTCATTCGATTTATGATTTTCAAGTTTTTTGATAAGTTTGAAATGTAGAAGCAGTTTAGAACACATGAGATTACCAAATTGTACATTGAACCTAATACTAAATTACCTGGGTTCTGTTTTACTTACTTATTTACTTGAGAGCTAGTTTTTATTTCCTACTCCAATAGCAATCTTTCTTCAGTTATATATATATATACTAAAAAAATTACCTGTACAGCTTAGTTGAACTGTTTAGAGCAGATGATGGCCAAAGATACAATACTTGTATCCTTAAAAATTTTCATTGAATAAAACGTACACATTTATATAGTTTTCTTGTTGAAACGTTTGTCATATAACATTGTTTTTCTGTATTCTAGTATCCGCACATCCCCAATTTGGCATCACAATTGACTGCTTCACTTTTGCAAATATATCCATTTCACATACACCGTATGAAATACAGCGTCATGCGTACTCAGGAAGAAGAGGTTCAAGTCTCTCCCCTGCTGGACAGTCAGTAAGAACCCTTTCGTTGGGTGTAGGTGACAGTGTATACAAAGAAGAACCTCTTTCATAAACTCTTTTAAGAGAAAGACATTATGAAAAACAAAAGTAGAAAGAAATGAAGGCACTAATGACTTATCACAAATGCTTATTTTCATAAGCAACAAGAAGGAATGAATAATGATTTTATCTGAGGCATGCTATCTCTGCATAAGGACTGTTTGGTGCATGTATTCTATGAATAAATTATGTTTATTACTCTTTTAGCCTGATGACACCCCATAAATTAGATTGACAATCTGTAAATATAAAAAGATTTTAACATGAATTTACTCATTTCAAAATTGCATGCCTTCTGCATGGTACAAAAAATAATCCAAACAAGAAAAGACCAAGTGTTTATGCATGTAAGAGGGAAGAAACAGTGAACTTGATTTAAAGTGAGAAAAGTGCCCATCATTGTGACTGGCTTTTAATGAATCTTCAGTGAAGTAAAAAAGTTATTATTTTTTGTGCATAGGCTAGAATATCTTGTAGCTTTGTACTTACTCTGTTGAAATATTTGAATACCATTTATGTTCTAATATTTTTGTACTAGTTACTACTAACTTCTGACACATACTGAAAACTAGACAGTTGCACAGATTGGAAACCATGAAATTTTATCTTTTTTAAAATTTTTAATTGACAACTGTTTTTAAATTTAAAATTTAGAGAGTTTTCATATACTAAGTTTTGTTAATTTAATGAGTCAACAAAATTTCTCCAAACAAAAGACCAAAAACAAACATAAATTGTAATATTTTATTAACAAAGAGAAACATTGGACTATCATATTTAGTAGTTTTCTATATAAATTTTACATGTCTTGCATACGACATTACAAAACAAGATTGCTACTTTTGATAAAAACTCTACTCTTAACATGTTCATAGTTATATCTATGTAGATCTTCACTCATCTATTACTTACTTAGTACATTTGTTTTCCAGTTTATAATGGAAAGTCTCCAGGCATTTTTAGACAATTTACATTATAATAATGTATAAAGAGTTACATTTTAAACTTTTGAATAGCTAATGAGGCTTCCTGATGTATATACTACAAAGAGATATATTTTTTACTTTGTGTTGTTGTTGATCTTCAGAGAATTGTTGAAGTGGTATTAATTTATATATTTTCCACATAAACAAATACTTTCTAAATAATTCTTCAAGGCCCGGCATGGCCAGGTGGTTAGGGCACTCGACTTGCAATCTGAGGGTCGCAGGTTCGAATCCCCATCCCACCAAACATACTCGCCCTTTCAGCCGTGGGGGAGTTATAATGTGACGATCAATCCCCGTCCCACCAAACATGCTCGCCCTTTCAGCCGTGGGGGAGTTATAATGTGACGATCAATCCCACTATTCATTGGTAAAAGTGTAGCCCAAGAGTTGGCAGTGGGTGGTGATGACTAGCTGCCTTCCCTCTAGTCTTACACTGCTAAATTAGGGACGGCTAGTGCAGATAGCCCTCGTGTAGCTTTGTGCGAAATTCAAAAACAAACAAATAATTTTTCAGGTTTATATATTATTTAAGTAGAGCTAGATGAAAGATATTTCAATAAATTTCTATATTTTAGCTAAACTTAAGGGTATTCCCTCTACTTCTTTAACAAAAGAGTTCATCATTCTAACAAGTAAAGAACATGGTGTCTCTGTTAATTTATGAAGACACTGGAAGTGTTTATAAACAGGAGAAAGGTAAGCCTTCTTAGAAGGTTTAAAGATTTTAAAAACTGAAGAATAAATAGGGAATTGTTGCTCAGAACTTCTCTACGTTTCAGTAACGAGTCTGTAGTGCACACGTACATGAGATGCACCCAATGAAATTGCTTTAGACATTTCTAAAAAGTTACTGGATGTGTAGAATTTCCTTTAATATATTTTTCCATTGTATGTATGTGATATAGACTACTTATATGTTAGCATAAAAGATTTAAAATACAATAGTTTTAATAAACACCTTTATATTGTATATATAAGTAAGAGAAAGAACTCAGATTTGATTAATGACAATAATCTTGGGCAGTGTTCTGAACCAAAAAAATAGAGAAACAAACCAAGGATGGCTAGTGAGAAATTAATTATCACATGTTCTTATTGTCATCATATAATGTACTTCATCAAAAAAATAGAGAAACAAACCAAGGATGGCTAGTGAGAAATTAATTATCACATGTTCTTATTGTCATCATATAATGTACTTCATCTAGGCAAAATAGAAAAGATTGAGGTTTCTTGGACACAATTTATTTTATTAGTTGATTTTAAAATAGTTATAGTAGTAAAAAAGTACTTAGTGTTTTATACTATATGACAATATGATATTGTTGATTGCTTATTCATATTGTTGAAGGATTAAACCCCATTTTTCTAAACATTTTAACATTGGTATACATGTACATATATTACTTTCATTAATTTATCACATCACTTGACTGCAGCATTTAAATTGAAGATCTTCATTAATGAGATGTAACAACGATGAATAGTTACTGTTTAATTAGAATATATTTATTGCACCTTAATGTGTGAATGTTGTCATTCTGAAATCTTTGACTCTCATGATTAAATGGTATATTTTGAAATGATTAGAGTTTAGGTTTCATGATTGAATGTGCTGAAAATAAATGAGGCATTTTTCTCATCATTCTCTTTGGTTTGATAATGTCTTTAGTAACTGCAACCAGTTTTTTAGCTATCATATATGTTTCAAGTGCACAGTAGAGACAGTTTAGACTAATGAAAAATAGGACAACTTGGTAATTTTATTTTTTTTACTTTTAGGATAAAACTGTTTAAGATTGACACGTACAGGTGACTGAACTTGATCTTTGTCATATGGTTTTAGTTACTAGAGCAATGTAAGAAATATTTGTTATTGACATTAATGTATGATGTTAATAGAAAATGAAAATAGTACACTACTAGACTCCCAGTGTTTTGCCCTTAAGGCTTTATCAAGAAAACATGAGTCAGAACTTAAATAAGAAATAGCATACCAGATGTAAAGATAAAACTGTAAAATAAAGTGAGTGTTGAAAGTTCTAAAGCAACATGATAAAATTTATTCAACAATATTACTGGAGAAAATATTTTAAAAACTCTTTGAAACATTGAAAAAAGTTTCTTAAGTGTTTTTACTATATATTCTTGGTTTTTTTGTGCACTTGTATTTCCTCACACAAAATTTATGTAGATATCCTGTTCATTATTGTTAGTTTGCCCCTTAAGTCATTTACTGCATTATATACTTCACTTGATAATTTAAATACTTTCGTGGATAAAGCCTTGTAAAAAAATGTGTATTGGAACTAAATCATTTATCAGTTTGGGATTTGGCAGTGTCTCCTATTTTTAGGAAAGCATCACATGGTTTAAAAAGTACTCTAGGTATAATGTTAGTTTTTGATGTAGCCCACTTGAAAATTTGCTTATTTTACTAAAAAAAAAGCGACACAAAAATAATGTAGATAATACCACATAGTGGTCAGAAAATATTATATGAATAGGCTCTAATGCAAACTATTTTCTTATTAACTCTATTAATGAAAATGTTTGAAATCATATTTGGTTTTTTACTTCTTAAAGCTTATGTTCAGCTACATTAACTTGTAGGTAAAATATTTTATACTTTAAAAATGAAAGATATTGCCATGTTTAATCATGTATTTCCAAGTTGGCATTGTTATGTTTTATATTTTAATGCATTAAATGAATGTGTGCCATTTTCTCAGTTTCTATAATAGACATTGTACAGTGTTGCCTCTATTTAAATTTTAAAATGTATTTCTTTAGTGATACATTCATTTAGTGAAGAATTCACTTCACCACTGTTTGTAGGTTTTCTTAGTTATTTAGTACAACATAGCTTATCAAAATTACTATGTAACTTTCTCATCCAAGCCAACTGTGTGTAATATATTATCTAGTAGCTTGTGTTTATTTGCAAAGAAAACATTTTTCATGTTAATTGTCAGTGTGTTTTTATACTTTTTTTTTTTAGGGTTCTGTTTCAGTAATTTGTATGCATCAGCTATTACATCATGGTGGCAAGCAGTTGCTAAAATTCCCAATTAATATCTTGTTTGAATAGCCAGGCAACTTTCCAGGACTTATTCATGGGGAATAACTGTTCTAATGTATTTCAGTAAAGTCTAGTAGTACTCATATATTTTGATTTTCTTTTATTTGTTCAAAAACATTTTAGAATAATTTTCTAAATAGTTTCAAAATATAGATATGTTCAAATTTTACTATCTTATTCTGCAACTCACTTCATGTAACCTGTATTTTGGGAATCAGTGTTGTAAGGAATTATATTTGTAAGATTGTTGTACTAATATGTAATAGCTGTAAGGTGTGTTTATTATTAACCATTTTAAAACATTTCATGATGTTTTTTTAATTACTTTGAAAAAAATCTCAGTTAAGATTTTATATTTCTAAATTTTAGAATGACTAAATGTTTTTTAAAATTTATATTCAAACTATGTTCTGTTGTATGATTGTTACAGATTTTTTTAAAAACCTGTTTGTGTAGAGTACCAATGTACAATAAAAAAAACGAATATAAAACAGCTATATCTTGTTTTCCTAGATCAGAATATTTGCTTTTAAAACAATAGTAAATAATATGTGTACAAGAACAGTACCATTCTTGACCTCTACTCTTCTCATGATCCTGATTCCAAAATAGTAGCCATTTTAAGGTTGCTTTAAATATATATATATATATCTACAAGAAACTTATTGTTTTTGTTTTAACTGCTATTTACTGCCATGGTGAAAAAATCTCGAACAGTAGTTACTAGCTGTGTAGGTATGTATTTTTACAGCAGAAAAGCCAGGAAATGAATAAATGACAGGATTATTGTGTAGAAGTCACTGAGCTTCAGTTGTAGAGTACTGTGTTAATACACATGGTTCTTGGTATACTACAACAAAAAAACAATCTTTATGCAGAAATTCAAAAACAAATATTAGATTTATATTTTTTGTCACATTTTGGTGATTAAGTTATAACCACGGTCAGTATGAATTCACTGTAACTCAATAACTTTTGAAAAAAAAATTTACAGATTCAATCTATTTTTCTGGGAAAATAAATAATCTTGCTGCCAATTATGGGCTTCATAGTTGTGCATATCACAACTCTTCAAAACTATTGTGTCTACAGATTAATTTTTGTTTAGTTATTTAAGATAATAAAGAACTATTATAATATGTGGTAACCATTAGCTTTATCTCCTGTAAGTTTTTAACTATAGTTCGTTGTATAGTATTACATCATTAGTTTTAGTTATACTAGTTTCCCAAATTACTTTCTTGCTTCCTTTTCTAAATGTTTTCTTATTAGTTCAAACTTTCTTAAATTCTATAGCGTGTAGTATGCAAATGCATACATATTTCTTATGCGATATAGTTAACTTTAAAGTTCAAAGGAATATTTCAAAATTTTAGCACATGCATGGTTCCAGACGTGTATAGTTTTAACAGCTAATCTGCTTTAACTGTAGTTGCCCATTGTTCTGGATCATTCCATGTTAGTGTTACAAGAAATTTAAAATTTTTATAACCAATAGAAAAAGTGCTGCCTAGAGGGTATAAGCTTCTTCAGTTATTTTATAATGGAATGATCAAAGGTGACAAGTTTCATACGTGTTCTAATAGTGGGTAGATCTTACAGAATTAACAGATTTTATGGGTAGCGAGTTATTCTATAGCAACAATAGTTAATTATACCCATTATCTCTTTAAGGTTCCTTTTAATTAACAGTATTGGTTATGATATTTATGAAAATAACTTTTTTAATATTATATAGATTTTTTCACATTTTTAGCTTAATTTATGAATTTAAGACTAACCTAAATCTACTAATCTGGCTGAGCAAAGTATAACTTTTACCATTGTGTGGTAGTTCTTACATGGACACCTACTGAAAGAGTAATACTTTAACCATAGTGTTGATTACAATATTTTATATATCTATTTTTATTACATTTTGGTGTTTATTATTTTACTACAGTTATTATTCTACATACTATTTCACATTATTAGTTTAGTTTATGTATTTAGGATTAACCTAAATGTAATAAGCTGGCTGAGCAATGTATAACGTTTACCACATTGTAGTAGTTCTCACTTGGACATCAGCCTAACAAGTAAAATTTTAACACAGTCTATTTAGGTTATCCTATTATAATGATTATTCAGCATTGTTAGCTTCGTATATAGCTTTAGGACTATGTTATTGCTTACAACCAAAACTACAGTGAACAGTAAGGGTACCCAAGTGATGAAACAATCTAAGAATTACAAGTAATATAGTTTCAACATTATATTTATTTCGGTTTGTACAGTTTCCTTAATAAAAACCTGTAAACTCTGTTGATATTTATGCTTGTCACAAGACATTAGTGTTAGGCCTATTATATTTTTAAACACTACATTTTTTTATCTAGTCCCTTGGAGATTTCCAAGAATTAGACGAGCGTATAATAATAGTATTCCAACCACACTATCTTCACCAAATCCACTGCCGACGACGTGTTCCATTCAATTCAGAGCTCTTCAGGCTGGATGGGATACTAATATCATATGGCATGTATAATTATAATATGATTCACAAGCTTATAGAAGGTGTTCCTACCATAATACTTGTAACAGATGGCTTATATAAAAAGTGTTCAGAACACTGCTGTGTTTGTTGTATTACAGCCAGCCTGAAGAGCTTTGGATTGAGCTAAACACATTGTCAACAATGGATATGGCAAAAATAGTGTGGTTGGAATAATTATTATTATTATACACTCTTCTAATTATTGAAAATCCTTAAGGGGCTAGATAAAGAATGTAGCATTTAAAAATAAAATGGGTCTCACATTAATGTCTTATTACAAATATAATTATAATCATGCTTTGCCAACTTGTAAAAGGTCTTCACTTTATAACAAATGTAGTAGTAGTAATGTTCATTTGGTTAAAGCCAAGAATTATATTTTTTGTTTCTTCACTAACCATCATATCTACTTATAGAATATATTTCTACATCTTGAAATAATAAAAAAACTGCTGTTAAGTTAACTGTACTTTTGACATGTTTCAAACTTATGTTTACTTTTCATTCTTTGTACAATGATTTTACATGGTAAAGGTGGTCTAACCATTCCCTGTTTAACCACAATTTTTATTCATGAAAAAATAATACACATAGATTATTTAAGAATACAAAACTATTGGCCTTATGAAAAAGAAAAACAATAAATTAGTTATTTCACAATTAATGTAATTTTATAAATTCTGAATGAGACCATGATGTGGACAATTAATTACTGTAGCGACAAATAAACACTCAAAGTATGTGTGTTTACTTAATCCTCTAAATTTGGTGTTTGACAATTTTCTTATATAAATTTATGTTCACACACAAAAATATGCTAAGATATTACTGAAAATATTGCCAATAGTTCCAACGATTTAAACAAAAGATGAGATTACCTATGTTTAAAATTATGTAGTTCTTTCACAAATTATTTTCTGTTCAGATCTGAGCCCATAGAGCAGAACGTAAAGATTAAATAAATGAGTTACATTTGTATGAAGTGATTAGATCTTTGAGACAGGTCTAAGAATAGGGAGAGCTGTTTATCTGTATTGCATTTTAAAAAATAGATTACATGATCTAGAGTTTAGAAGACTGTTTACATTTACTTAGAACTGAAGAAGGTACTATGACTGGAAAATTTCTTGCTTTTACAAGATAAAAGAATAACAGGTTGGCTAAATGTTTCAAAGAGAAAGTTCATAAACAATTAGCTGTTTCTAAAAGTAGCTTTAAAAATGTATAAAGGTACAAAATATAATATTTCTTCATATATCTGTACAAATCCTTCCGGCAACCTTCAGAATGAACAGATCACTAAAGTATTTCATTCTGTATAACTCTTAATGGTGTTTCTTAAATGACAAATTACTTTTGATTTCAAGACTTTTAGAACATCTCTACATGGGCTGACAGCTGACATTTGTACTCTATTTATTAAATTATCAGAGACAAGTTTGTGTGTTCACCATTGTGTATCAATAAACATTTATTAAACTGTCACAAAAAAAAAGACAGAATATCATTTCCTTGAAGATTCACAAAAGAGTAACTACATTTTAATCTTTAATATGCTCCTCATCCTTACAAAACATGTTGATATAAAATAGTTGCCGATATACAAAGTAGTGTGTAAAAATATACAGGAAAAGTTAAATATTAAGTAATAAGGCCACTTATAACAGAACAAAACAAAAAATACTACTCAAATTTTGTATTAAAAGAATAAAAATGCTAATACTTATGTACATTTTGAAAAAATATAAGTGTTTGTTCATACTATTGTTAGTTACACATTTTACATAATGGAAGAAAAAATAAACCCCTCAAAAAACATTTACCTACAAAAAAACAAGCTTATCCTACACCTATATTTAGAGAAGAACTATTGAAAACTTCGTGATTTTTGTGCTGCTATAAATTCTGGGTAATCTATAAATCCATCTTTATTTCTGTCATCTATATTCAAGATTGGGTCAATCATCTGTGAAAGTTCCTGGTCAGTGAAGATTTTAGTTGTTCCTTGTGGTGGAGCATTTTGTCCTAAGTGTTTGCTCTCTTCAACTGTAAGAAATTGGTTTATTTGTATTCATGGTATCAATTTTGAGACAGAATAAAAAAGTTTTTAAAATAAAAAGTAACTTAACAACCTACCGTATTTTTTGGAATATAAGACGCACCAGCGTATAAGATGCACCCTTATTTTGAAGACAAAGTTTTGGGGAAAAAAAAGCTACAGTCTCATTTAAAAGATTTTTATTGAACAAAAATTCAATTTGATACTTTAAAAATTAGTATATATTGTTCTAAACACAAAAGAGTTCAAAATAAGAAAATACTGTAAATCAAAAAAAAGCTATTATGCACTATTTATGATAAATGAAATCCATATATTTTTAGTTTTATGAAAAATATAATAAATCCAGAAATTTTTGTCTTAACTAATAAGCATATGGATGTTTTAATCGGTATAAATAATCGAGCAAAATATTTTATTAACACTATTTATCCAATGGAATTAGAAACTTAAAACTTCTATTTCCAAAGTAGAGGAATATTATTTAGATCTAGAAATTAAAATAACTAATCAAAATATTTAAGTTCAATGTTTTTGATAAAAGGAAAAACATTTTTTCTATTCCAATAACAAAAACAGATGGTCATGTGGCTAAAACAACCTGCTGCAGGACACACTGCAAGTTATTAACAGGAATGATAGTTTAGCGATATACCACCTTCTGTATCTCAGACTGTGGTAATCCAAATTATCAAATATTTTCAGTGGATGTGCTCTACTGGACTCTTATTTCACATAGAAAATTAAGGTTATCCAATTTTGATCAAGTTTCTTCTTCTTTTTCCTTCACACCAAAATTACGGAAACTTTATTTGATAGAAAAACATACTTAACTTTTATCGATTTTTTTTAAATTTGATACACCGATAGATCTTTTCAATCTACAATAAGGAGTCTCATTTGGTGTAAATATAAGCCACATTTGCAAAGTTATTCAACAAAAACTGCTCAAATTTGACAAAATTATTGTGTATGCCTATGCAAAAAGTCACGTGAGCTGTCAGTCTAACATTTTTACTACAGCTTCACATAAGAGTAAAAGTGAACCATTTAGTTTTTGTCATTCAGATTAAAAACACCTTAGATGTGAAATACAAGGTATAGCCAAAAAAAGGATTAAGTGTGTGACTTAAAGGAATAAAATCAAAATTGGTAGCCAAACTGGTATCTACACTTGTATCACTGATACAGCAAATATTCATTCATTAGTTATAATGATATAAATATAGCTGCTAATTTTGATTTTATTCCTTTAAGTTGCACACTTTATCTTTTTTGGTCACACGTTTTTCATACCTAAGGTGTTTCTGATTAGATACGGTCTATCCTCTCCTAATTATTATAAGTATTATAACTTCAGAATTGATTAGATTCTGTAAAATTTGAAATAAATTACAATATTTCTTGATTATTGTTGAAATATTGATGCAAAAATTAATATTTAATAGATTTACTATATATAAAAAAAACAACAAAAAAACATTAAATAATATTATTAAAATACTTTGTGGTAAATACAAAATATATTACATAAATATAAAGAAATAAGAATTAAAAATATTTTGCTAAAAATGTCCAATAGGTATTTTCTGTTTTTATTAATGTCCTTTAAACAACTTGGCACTATTTTTCATTTGTGCATGAACACCATCATAGCACATAAAACATTTTGTACAAAGGTAGAAAAAATCCAAAAATTAGTAGTTACAGTGGACTTAATGGCTGGAAGTTGGGAGTTATACTAGTTTAGATAACCTGGTTAGGTTTTCACAGTTATATACTAGTATAATTTGTTTTATATACTACTAATTAACTTGTTAATTTGGGCCTTTACTACTATAATGGAGGTTGGAATGCCAATGTCAGGAGACAAGGTTGCCTTAATTACCCCCCAGTGGTAGGACCTTATTTCCATTTTCCTTTCATTTCATATTTCTTTGAAGAGTAGTCATCCTCCCCCAAATATCTGTGGGCAATGAATGGCGATATAGATGCAAGACGTTGATGGCTTGAACACCCAGATCTTGCTCTCCTCACTTATTCTTCAACACAAGTGATTAGCAAACAAAGGTTAAGGCTGGAAGATGGGGTATTCCCACCACAATGTGGGTCCTACTTCTGCAGTCACCTCCAAAACCCAGGGCACATCTTATATCCGACATTATAGCCTATGCCCTGGTAATCTTTCTAATAATTTATGTTACAGTTGTTTTGTTTTTATTTATTAAGGCCCCTTTTGATAATTAAAATGTTTTTCAACACAGGTTTGGATTTGCTATCCTTCCTTTTGATGTTAATATTTACTTGAGTATCACAATAGTGTTTTTGCATATACACACACACACACACATGTATTTTTTTTCTTTTGGATTCTTATGGATACACATTACATTTGGAGCAACTTCTAAAGATAAAAACTTGTCAGGTATATATTTATACACACAAAGTTATAATATCGGACAAGTTTATTTAATTTTATTTCAAGCTTGAATTATTTGAACAGATGATAAATCACAGTCCAAGAGTTAAAGAACCGACAGTTTTACCGCTTTATTCCCGCACAAGCCGCTTCTCCAAATCTACGAATGTCATCGTAATCTCTGTCAAGTGGGCCAGTGGGAGTATAAACCTAAAAGATAAAAAACATTCTTTGTCACAATGTTACACACGATAATACAAGTTTAGACCCAGTTATCAGATAATACACCACACTGTAAAAAGATACTTCATTGGACTTTACTCCAACAAAAGAAATATTTCTTCTAATATCACATGTATATGCAATACAATACTAATGTTAAAGAAAACCACTCAAGAGAAGAACTAAACAACAGGAGTACTTTAAGTTGGTTAAAGTCCAACAGAAGATGCTTTAAGAAATACAGATTAAAAAAAACTTCAACAGAACATTTACACTTTCTTCATTTTTAATCTCTTTCTAAACTTCAATAAGCAACTCAATGTATTATTATTTTAGAACAATGTGGGACAATGACCAAGGTTATCCTTACAATAATTCACTATGCATTTTACATCATGATTTTAAGAAATTACCTGGACTGCTCCAAAGAATTATTATTTTTAGAAAACAAAAACTTGCAAGAGTCATTTTACACAGCACGGTTAGATACGTGATAATGTTTCTAAAATGAACGTTTTATCAGTTATACATAATTCATCTTAAACCAGGATCTTTCAGAGATACTTCTATCACATACTTTTAAATCAATTACCAATTTCATGGAATTTTCTAATTTATGAAAAGTGCTGTTTAAATACAACAAAAATAATATTAGTAGCTAAATTGTAGATCTAAAATCCTGTGAGTAATAGTACTTGTCACAGTATTACATAGCACCAACACACGGTTCTACAGAAACCTCATACTTTTAAACTTTGAAATTTAAACAGACAAATATCTGGAAATATTATAATGTATATTAGAGTAAGTGAAAAAACAACACTATATTCAGCATTTATTTGATACAATCCAGAAGCTGTAGAATCTATCAACAAGGCGAGTCTAATCCACCCACTAAAAGTTGTACCCAAGAAATAGATGGAATACTTACCAGGCGTTTCGTTAGCATGTTTTCAGGCAAAGCAATTACAGCTACCTCGCCTTCCGCCTCATCCACCTGCAAGAAACAAAGAGCAACTTTGCAATATTCACCTTACGTGGAGTTACAAAAATATATTAAAAATGCTGCTATATTACTGTCTTAAAAAGGAGATCACTTCAGTCGGGAAGTGACTTACCTCATCAAAAATCAAGAGCATGAGTATTAAAAAAAGGACAGCAGCTTATAATTTTAACAACCAGGTGATTATCATCAAATTTCATGTTATGTACCATATTTTTCAGTGTATAAGACGCACTTTTTTTTTTACCCCAAAATTTGCTTTGTCAGAATCTGCTTGCGTCCTATACACCGAAGTTATGAATAATATATATGTATATATACAAACCATGTGTAAATATATTTAAATAGGCATGCATAGTTTAGTTCAATTGAATGTGTTATTTATAACAATAATAGCTTTTTTTTCTTTTAAAAACATAACTATTTATAATGTTCCATAAATAATAAAAAAATAAATTACAGTGAAAGCAATGAAGATTTTGTAGGTTTTGAACCAAACTAAATAACAGTAAATGTTCAATAATTAGTCTTAATAATTAGTCAATAATTAGTCTTAATTACATAAAAACAAAGAATAAACGAGTCAAGAGCTCTATACTACAGATGAGTTTTCTAAAATTTAGAGTAATTATCTTGGGGGGTGGAGAAATCAAAGATTTATGTCACAAGTACACGGAAACATCTGCGACTCCGTGTTTCAGATGAGCTTTTTTTTTTTACATACTGAACATTTAATTTTCAAATTAAACAAAACTACTGAAAATTTGCATACCTTTCAAATTTCAGCAACTTTTTTTGACACCAAAATGTTGGGTGTTGACAAATTTACTAGTGTAGATTCAATAAAATTAGACTGGTATAACTTTCATTTCAACAGTAACTCTGAACAGCAGGTATAGAGTAGCTGCTATTGATGTTTAAACCTCAACGGCAATTTTTCTTCTCCCCCACACGCTCATTAAAAACTTGTAATTTTAGTGAATAAATGAAAAAATCTGAATGATGTACAGACTTCATTTATTATTTGTTCCACTACAGTAGAATATGGTTTTGTCAAATCACAAATGTTAGGACTAACTTGGGTAAGCAAACCAAAGAGATACGTTAGGCCTCTTTATCCATTGTTGGGGTGCAAACAATTTACAGAAGTTTACATCAACTTCAATAAACTTTCGTAAACCTGAAGTTAGTTTACAGTGAGAATATCCCATACTTTGTGCTCATTTTATTATAGATACAGGCATTTGTCTCTTTTGAAGTGGCAAATAAGCACATATACATGAATATGTGTGCGTATGGACACACACAAAATTCTGCATTCCAATTGTGATATATTGTGTAAG